TATAAATTATTTATATACATAAATATAATATTATATAAATATTATATATTATATATTATTATATTATCTTAATATTTATAAATATTTTATATTTTATATTTTATTTAATATTTTAAATAATTTTATTTTATTATATTATTATATTTAAATATAAATTTAAATAATTTGAACTTATATTTTTATATTTATATATATATATATATATATAAAATTTATATTTACATATTTATAAAAATTTTATATATTAAATTTAGAATTAAATATTATATATTATATATTATTATATTATTTTAATATATATATAATATTAAATATAATATTTAAATAATTATATTTTATTATATTTTATTATATTATTATATATTATTATATATTTAAATATATAAATTTAAATAATTTAAACTTATATTTGTATATTTATATATAGAATATATGTAAAAATTATTGTTTTTTTCAAAATCTCATTATTTTTACCAGTACTTAGTATAAGAAACGTAACAAATATGCCGGCCGTGAATGTGTTAACGATTAAATTAAAAAATTGATTGATCAAATAAGTAAATATTTAAAAGAAAATTTCATACTTAATTAATCCTCTCGATAAAACTGCACTGTAAAGTAACAACTTAGCACCTGGTCCTCCTTCGTCCTGAAACTATTCAAAATAACGTATGTCAATTTGATATTTATAAATTTAATATAAAAAAAAAAAGTTACTTACCAAGTATAAGTACCTCTTGATAAATATTTGAAGATCTTCTATCGAGGTGAACTCGAATAGATGCAACTGCAAATGAAAAGATAACGAAATATATGTTAAAAGTGTATATGAAAAACTTGGCTACGACCTTAACCCCGAGGGAAAATTGGTTATTTCATCCCTCCCCTCTCTAACAATAATCCTTAAAGCTAATATTTTCAATATACCGTTAAGTATTATAAAATCCTAAGAAATCTGAAAGGCCAACCCTCAATATTAAAAAGAGATAAAATTATGTATACACACTCAAGACTTTATTAACGTAACACAAATCATAATGCAAAAGCAATAAAGACATCCTTGAATTGGTTGGCACGTTGCCAACAATACGTCTTGACGACTCATTTGATAAACGATCTAAGCTATTTTTTTTTTCCTAGGTCAATCTGAGGCAACTCGAGTACGAATAAGGAAAGAAAAAAAAATAGAAAAAGAAAATCAAAAAGTGTATGAGAGTAAGATGAGGTGGTGGTGGTGGTAGTAGTAGTAGTGAAGGATGATGATGTGAATAGGCGTACTGTCTCCGTCAAACCATCCTGAAAATACTGCACGCTATGTTGCAGATAGGGTGTCTTTTGTGGTAATGCAACGATTGCCTTTGGCACGCTGACACTTTTTGTATCGAGGTTGCTGCAGCTGCTATTCTGATTGTTAACAGAAACGAAACCACCGGCGCAACGCCAAATTATTTCTGATATCGCAAGGCACAGGACTTCAACTTGTCTGTCATACGAAGGTTTCAGTAAGCTAAGAGAAAATAAAACAACAAATTATACACGATTCATAGAAAATAACGTGTTCAATCTAATACTACTTACATATCCGAACTTATACGACTGTCCTGAGTGTTACACTTGAATAAAAAATGTTTCAACATGATAGCTTGAACTGCAGTAATTAAACCTCTGGTAGTATTCCTAGGTGCTCTCAACCCAAAAGCTAAATTTTGACCATAAGGTCTTAAAGTTAAACCGGTTCTAGCCCATTCTGCTCTAGGTGGACAAGCACAGCTACCAAATATCAATGTTCTCAACATCTAAAATAATTTATAAATAAATAAAAAAGAAATTATTAATAGACAAATGAAAGATTAATTAATTACCATACAAGTTTCTTCGTCTATAGGTGTACCACCGGATACTATTGTTTTCGGTAATGTTCTCGTATTCCTTGGATAAATGATCCTTTCTGAAAAAAAAAAAATGAAAAAAAATAAATCATAAATATAGATCGATCAAATTTATTCTATTAACAATTCTCTCTATATAAATATCGTCAGTTTTACTAATTTAATGAGATTATTCTCATAAATTTGTATAAAACCTGGATAAAGTTCGTCCGGTTCAGCCATAAGTGCTGCACATCGAGCTGCTCTCGTTGAAAGTAACATTTGATAAGTATATGACTATTTGATAAGTATATTTTTATGATATTTTAAATATACGATCTGAAAGAGCCTTCCTTCTGTGATCGTACGTAAACCAAAACTGAAAGATTTGACGTGCATTTCTTTTCTATATATACATATGTTACATCTATTACAATATAAAGAATATAAATTTGCAATGATCACGGATTTACTGACATTACTTTGCATAAAACGAAAATTCTTCTTCAAGAGAATGCGTAAAAATTCAAACGAATTCCTAAGGTTTTGTGTCAGCTAGTACTACCACACCCGATGCTTATCGAATATCAATTGAATATCAAATGAAATAGCATGTCCCTTTTATACAAACCAATTTTGTGTCTATTGAATAGACACTTTGACTGTAAAGTTTTTTGCAAGGCGGGGTTGGGTGGAGCACACGAAATGTGTCAATTCGTATGTCCAAATAGACTAACGAACAATTAGGTATATTTGAAAATGATAGAAATGCCCTACTAACGTCTATCTGTCTAATACGATCTAGCTTGGAATTTTGCATTAACACATACATATTTTTATCGTACTAGCTGGAACCACCCTAATAACATCCGTTTGTACTTGCTAGTGTATCTAGTATACTTCGATCTAGATACGGGTGCGGTCGCATAATCATTCTTTTCCCTAATTGTCAAATAACTTTTGACAATTGACAACATAATAATTATCTTATTTTTTAAACGTATGTTCATAACTCAAAATAATGTGTAAAAAGGTTTTTGTTTATGGGTACGTAACGTATTATATTTATTGCTAAAGTTCATTTATTATTAGGTTGTCCGAAAAGTTCGTGTTGATTTCCGGTAGATGGGATTAAAGTTTTTTTTACTAAAAAAAAAACCTGAGAAGTTCTGGAAGAACAAAATTTAGAAATTACTCTTAAAGATGGAGAATGATTGTGAAACAGAATGGCACTTATATATAATTAAACAAAAAAAAAAATCGGCACGAACTTTCCGGACAATCCAATCTTAACATATATAAATTACGGGTCACATTGTTTGTCCGCAATGGACTCCTAAACTACTGAACCGATTTTAATAAAATTTTTCACACTGTGTGCAGTTTCATCCAACTTGAAAGATAGGATAGTTTATATCTCAATTTATAATCGCAATATTATTTTATTAATCGCGAATTATTTGTTTATTAACAAAGAGTCATGATTCTAACAGATGGCGGTATAAGATAATTCGTTGACATAAAGACGTGTGTATCGGACTGATTGTGAGCCACAGCAACGCGTGGCGGGGCACCCCTAGTATATTTATATTGCAATCGACATGTATTTACGTTAAATTTATTGGCGTTTGGTGATAAAGAAAAAAGGTGTCGTATGGAGACAATTGATAATTTTTTTGTAGATAAATTTGTTTGAACCATTATGCGAAAGTAGAAGAGGGCCTGGCGTGATCTAACACTCGTCTAAGGCGCTTACTCGCATAATCGCGTGCTCGCGTGCAATCAAGATATCGTATTAAGAATCCAACGTCGGAACAAGCATCTGCATTCGACGATTGCACACACCATCTTTGATATATCCGAACATACGTATGCCTACTTATACAAACACATAGTCTAAATTTGCATTCCTTCGAGAAACATTCGAATAACTATACATCCATCTAATCGATTTTAACCATTCACCTTTCATACTCAAGGTCGTGTGCTTTTTATAATTTTTTGTATTTGTTTATTAAAACGATATTTGTTCATGTAGATCGTTTGAAGTACTTTTTCCTAAAGGATACTTCGTTAAATACAAAAGAAAAAGTATGGAAGAACGGTCAACGATTAGAATCAGAAATCTTTGTTACGCCAATGTACGTAAGTTACACTTTGTTGTTCGTTAAACTATGCAAGACTTTCATTTCCTTACAGATCGATACCGGAAAAGGACAAAGAGAGTAAAATCAGTGTTGCATAAACACGACATCCTCCTACTTAATATCTACACAAGAATCAACGAAGAAGAAATGAAAAATAAGAAGATTTTCTATTATATTAGGTTTGGGAAAATGTTATCCATTATTTTTACGTTAACTCTTCAAGATTTTATTTAACATACTTCTGGTTGTCTAATTTTGGTCAAATATGCACCGTTTTGTTCGTTTATGTGTTGCCGTTTTAAAAGTAGCTTCACAATGCCTGTCTCATAAAAGTCTTGCTCCCTATTTGCGAAAAACTCTAGTGATCGATTTTTACAATCTTCTTTTAATGTCAATTTCTTATCAATAAGAAAGTTTTGCAGTGCAACAAAAAGATGGTAATCGCTTGGTGTAAGATCTGGTCTATATGATGGATGCATCAAAACTTCTCAACCCATCTCCCAGAGTTCCTGGCGAGTCACTATAGACATGTGTGACTTGGCGTTGTCCTGATGGAATACAACACCTCTTCTGTTGGTCAATTCTGGCCGTTTCTGGTCAATCGCTTGCTTTAAACGGTTCAGTGGTTGAATGTAGAGATCCGAATTTAGTGTTTGGCCATATTTAAGCAACTCATAATAAATAATTCCTTTCCAGTCTCACCAAATGCACAGTAGAACCTTCCTGGCTGTTAGTCCTGGTTTGGTCACCGTTTGAGCTGCTTCATCGCGCTTTGACCACAAATATTGTCGTATGTGACCAATTTCTCATCCCCAGTCACCATCCATTTAGGAAATGGGTCGATTTCATTTCGTTTGGCCAAGACTTCACAGATGGAAATTCGATGCATCATGTTTTTTGGTGTTATTTGGTGTGTCACCCAAACATCGAGCTTCTTTTTGAATCCAGCTTTGAGCAAATGGTTTAAAACTGTTTTATGGTCGATCTTTAGCTCCTGGGCGATGCTACGACTACTAACATGACGGTCAACTTCGATTATTTCTGTGATTTTATCGACATTTTCGACGACAGACCAGCCTGCGCGAGGTGCATCTTTAACATCAAAAATACCTGAAGGGAATCGACGAAACCAAAATTACACGTAATTATCTGTTACAGTATTGAGAGTATAAACACCATTCACAATTTCAGCCGCCTAGCTTGAATTTTCGTCTTTAGAAAAGAAAAAGTGTGAAATGTACCGAATTTGATCTTTGTTGACTTCCATTTTGAACACCCTGTAAGTCACAACTGAATAGACCAAACAAAAAACGGTAAAGGAATTTTTGTTAGCTCTAAATGTCACCTTTCTAACAAGCATAAATTTAAAATTGTTCGATTGATATTTTACGAAATATCGATAACTAAAGTCATCTAACGAAAAAATAATGGATTACTTTGTCCCCAACCTAATATTTGTAGATATAATCCTGTAATTAAATATTTTCTATTTGAAATCATAATATAATATATTATTTTCAGGATTAATGCATACCTCTGTCTCTCAAATATGTTGGCTTCTTCGGAATAGTATCGTATTGCTGTTTGCCTGAAAACGATCCTGATGTTGATGTAGTTGTACTCGTGTTAACATCAGACACAGAATCTGACATAGTGAGTAATTGTTCGTTTGTTTTACTTGTTCGTAATTCCTCCATCGTAAAGAGAGATTATTTTTATTTCAAATAAAATATCCACCCAGGAGAAGAATTATTAAAGAAAAAGTTTCATTACAATATTGTAATCTGTGAGGGAAAATATGTTGATAATTTCAATCTTATATATTTATAACTTCATTGATAGTTGTTGGATTGGTTTAATGAACAATGATCGATTATTTCAAAATGTATCATTTTCACGATAAATCTACTTTCGAACGAAACTAGATCGTTATTTATCATCCTTCGAGCGTAAAGATCGAAACCCTTCCGACACTTCGTGCGTGACGAATTCAAAAATAAACAGAAGAAAATAAATTATAAAACCGTATTATTTTTTGTCGTCTCATTTATAACGTTCCCATCCTCCTCCCATGGGAAATCTATTAATCATTTTTCACACGTTTCATAAGAAACACTTTTTTATTCGACGATTAAGTCTCGTGTCTTAACTAAATATTTGTTTGAAGCATCTTTGTTAAAAGTTAAATACCTTTGTTCGTGTTTTGCATGTAACTAAAATGTTTCCAAAATTGAAATCCCATATGAATAATATTATTATCAAAATATCCTTGTAATTTGTTACAGGAATATAAAATAAAATTGAACATTATTCTTATTATTATTATATTGAAATACCTATTGAGAATTATAAGTGAAAATTATTTTTTATTAAGAGACACAAAAGCAAGAGCTTATTTTAAAACGAGTTTCAATGATAATCATTAAATTGTATTTAAAAATGATACCGATTATTTTCTTACTTATTACTAATCTCTGAGTTTTTTTTTTTTTTTTTAACTGACAACTCGTTTAATCTTCCTTCGCGTTCCTACGTATACGACTGGAAGAACTAACTAACGAATATGCGAGGTAAACTTAGGGTTTGCATGTGTTCCACTCTCAATACATACATAGATAAGTATTTATGCATGTATATAGATATAACCGTACACTTACATCTGCATTGACCTGTGTTAACTGACAGCCTGGCGCCGGCAGTTTGGATAGCGATAATAATTCTAACCAACCCTTGCGATTTTCAGTTCATCCCCTTTTACCCACTTCCCTACGTAAATGGTGCCTTCTCATTATCTTTCGCGTTACTCAACTTACATTAGTTTGTTATTCTTACTAAGCTAAATTGCTCATAGTTTTGCGCGTCGATGATTTTTAACGGGATTTCATTTCAATGAATGTAACTGTAAATAATAAAAAAAAACGTATCTACAGAAAATAATACAATACATTTTGTAATTGAAGCTATAAATTGTCATTTTTAATAGAGTATTGATATCTATTTCAATCAATCAATTATATATAAGATCAATTTATATAAATATATAAATATAAGGATTATATAATATTCAATATTTGAAATAAATCTATACATTTTGATATCTTTTCATATCTCTCATATATAATACATTTTAAAATACCAAACATGTGTGCAACTGGTTTTAAAAACTTATCTGATTTTCCCTCCTATCGAATATAACAATTTTGATTGGTCGATAGATAAAGCGCGAAACTTGCCACGAATACAAACGCCCATCTGAGTAATCAAATGTTTGATCGAATGTTTATAATTAATTCGAAATTAGATCTAAAACTAGAAAAAGAATCAGAGGATTTTATCGTAAAAATTAAATGGAAAATATTTCTTTGTGTCTGTGTGTATATTTCATTTGATTTTTTGTTTGCATGTATATAAGGTAATACGCAAAACTTCTCGCTTATCCATAATTACTAATTTCCTGAACTGTTATTCGAGAAAATAAGATTACGTGATTTAACTAAGTTCAAGTTCGAGTTTAAAATAGATTGCACGTGCAACATTTTAAAGTTCAAACCATTCCACGTTCCTAAAGGATCACCAAAATTGATTTTACATATACATATGTATATTAAATATAAATAAAATATAAATATAAATAAAATTATATATATATATTTTATTAGAAATCGATTAACATAAAATGTTGTAAAAAATTCATCTTAGTTAGTTATCACAAATTGAGATAAATTAGGAATCACCTGTGGATGATAGTAGATAAAATACTATATTCTTTAAATAGTGTACCGTCTTCGCGTAAAATACCTACTATCGCCCACTGGTGGTTCCGATGTTAACTACGATAAATTTTTTACCAACAGTTATCGATAAGGTAAAATTTTCTTTCTCTGATTTATCGACCATGGAAAATATTCATCTTAGCTCCGAAACCACGAGATACATTCGTCATATATATACATATTACACACACATATATATATTTATATATTTTATGTAAAGAAAATTATAGAATACCTATAAGATACCTATACCATATCATTCATCTGATAAATTTTATTACCTATTTTGTACAATTACTTTTTTTTTTTTATTAATAGATATAATTGATTTGTTTTCATTATCATTTTTTCGTTTCTTATTCATTCTTTTATCAACCAGTACATTTTCGTCCATAGGATCAATTATTTTTCCCATAGCCGTTTGTACAGAAGGTTCAATGAATTTTTTATAAGAATTCTCCGGAACAAAATTTCGTCCGATCGGTGCTCTGATGCTAGCTTCAAAATCACGAACTGTTGAAAATGGAAATGGTAGTTCATTTACTTGATGTTCCCGTATTTTGGCATGGTCGTCTTCGATTATTATAACATCGCCTTTATTTTCATCTCTACGTGGTTCCTCTTTTGGAACATTTATAACAAATCGTTTCTTTTTCCTAGTCGATGGTATTATATTTGTTCCACCCCAAGATCCCCATCCTGGTAAGGTAAGATCAATATCCTCTGGTTGCGATTTTTTAATCTATAATTCAATGTGTGTACATTTGAAATATTATCAAATCAAAATGAATATTTTATTTGAATTGTTTGTCTTTTTATACATACCTCCTCTTCTTTTTCTTTTCTAAATTCGTCGACAACATCATCGTCTGCGAAAGCTTCACTTATTACGTTATTTCTTTCTTCCTCACCTTCGCTATCGTCTAAAACATCATCTCCACCAGTGATAACATTTGGTAAATCAGTTTTTAAATGTTTAGCTTTTACATTAATGTATTTGTTTGGATCTATATTCGTATCTTTACTTTTTGATACATCAATAGTTGTTTTATCCAAACTTTTGGCTAACTCTTTTAATTTCACTATATCTTTATTTTTGGATGTTTTTGCAGATTTAGTTACTTCTTCCATAGGATTAGTAAAGATTGGCTTTTGACTTTTATTTTTAAATTCTAATTCTTCAAAATTAGATTCATCAACGTTAGATTCAACATCGTTATGATTTTCCTTCTCTGCTTCAATATTAAATTTCCTTTTAACATTACTTATCCGTGTACGAACTTGTTTTCGCATTTTATCTTCCATTAAATCGAACATATCATCTATTTTCTCAATTGACGATGTTGAATTATTTTTCATATCATCAGAATTTACAGATTTATTGCAATCTTGTACACTCCAAGCAGATGTAGCAGCGACTTTTTCTAATATTTTATCACTTCTGTTTACTTTCTTCATTTTTAAAGTTTTATTTGTATCAAGCGTACCATTAAATTCACTATCCCCTTTTTCCTTGGCAATTAAAGATTTCTTATTCTGTTTTAATTTATTCGCTTCAATAGTCAATTGTTTATTAAAAGAAACAGTCTTCTTATCTGTAAAATAAATAAAGTAATTTTTATTAAACTGTACTGAGAACGTGAAATTCATCTGAAAAAATAAATATCCCTCTTTCACTCTTTACCTTGTTTTTCCTTACGTTCAGTATTACTTTTCTGAGATGTATTATGCATTTGATCAGAAGTAGAATCTTTTTTATTTGATTCTAAATTCACTCTATCCCAATATTTACGATAAGTATTAATAAACTCATCAATTTCATTTTCACTTTTAACTTCATTTATCCATGGATTTTCTTTCGTAGTATCAGAAAGTTTGAAAGACGTCGAATCTTCATTATCACCATTGTCATCATTATCACTACTATCATCCGCTACTTTCAGATGTTGCGTCAATTCTCTACCGATGGACAATTGTTGAGCAAGTTCTTGACGCGATTCTTTATCATACTTAGCTCTTACTTGTTTATTCTTTGCCCATTGACCTGTACTTTTATGTCTCAACGTTACACGTTCTTTCGCTCTGGATTTATCAAGCAACGATAGTTTCTCTAAAGCAGTCTGTGGATCTGATTTTTGTAATTCTTCAAATTCTTTAATTTGTTGTTTAATCCTTTCCTTTCTTTGAACACGATGGAACTTTTTACTCTTAATCCTTTTTTGTCTGTGTGCTCTTGCTTCTTTATAAGACTACAAATAAATAAGAAAAAAATAGTATAACACTTATACAATTGATACAATTTATACAATTTATACAATTGATAATAGCAATCACTTGTTTACCTGTAAAGCTCTCATATGAGCAGCTTCTTTTCTCCTTTCTAATATTTCTTCCAAAGTCATTGTAACTTTATCTTCTTTCTCTTCTACTTCTTCTGGCTTCTTTGGTTCTAATTCTGCTAATTCTTTTTCTAATTTTGATTGCATAGAAAATCTTTTAACAAATTTAGTAGTAGAATCTGGTACAGTAGGTAATTTATTCAAAGGAAAATAAACTTTTTCTGCGACTCTGTTACGTGAAATTATCCCATTCCATTTACTTACTTCTTTTTGAGTCTTTTCAAATCCGACCACTCTTTTAATCTAAAAATCATCACAACTTTGATTATTAAATATTCAAAAATAACAATGTGAATAATATAATAAATAATTAAACATACACGATCAGCAGAAGGTTTTTCTAACGGCTTAGGAAGAACTTTAGTCTTTTTTTGAACTGCATTAAATTTCTTGCTAATCTCTGTTTGATAACCTTTAGTTCCCAACGATTTGACTAAATTCTGAACAGATACTGCATTTTTATCAGATATTCCACTTTTAACTAAATGAAATTCTGATACTTCTAATGTTGGTTCTGTTCTTTCTGGCTTTTTAACTCTAATAAACACAAAGCACATACTTTTATAATATATACTAAATAATGAAAGTTAACCTATAAATATATTGTATTTACCTCTGTCCTTTATCTAGTTGTGCCACCGCTTCCAGTAGTTTAGAATGGGATTTTGATACTTCCTGATCGGTATCATAATCAACATCTGATCCACTCATTTTATAATAAATATTAAGAAAATTTATTTTAAAAAAATACTACATGCACCGCATTACCACGTGACGTAGACGTTCTTACAAAATACGGAAGCAGTGATCCCAGAGACTTTAGTTCGTTTGATCGACACAGGGGCGTAAAATTATCGTACGCGGCAAGAAAATTATCTTACGCCCCGGGAAAATTTGAAATCCGAAACAAATCTTTGGAATTTCCTTCCCTGTCACTAGATACGTTAAGGTGCGTTCTCCTTAACGCAAGGAACGGGCCGCGGAAAAAGGAATGGGCCAATGAGACTCCGTGTGGAGGAAAGAAACTTCCGATTACTACTTCGATCCCTTGGGACGAGATTTTATTTACCGAGCGTGGTGTGCCACGTGTTAACGGAAAGAAAATACAAAGAAAATAATTTTTATACAAGAACACGATGAGAGGAGTGCGACCAACCGGTACGACGGACGAAGTGAAAGCAGTGCTGTCCAGTGCTGTCAGATCGTGGGTAAATCTTACCCTCTCCCTGTGCCACTGGTATTGCACACAATGAAAGTTTTCCATGTCCGTGTGTTTGGGATTTCGAGGAAAGCCGAGTGTAACCGAAGTTGGCGGTTGGCCACGAAGTGGCACAYTATGAAAGCGACTCGTGTCCATGTGTTCGGACGACACGAGTCGCTTTCATAGTGTGTCACTCCGGCGTGCCCGCCAACTTCGGTTACACTCGGCTTTCCTCGACATCCCAAACACACGGACATGGAAAACTTTCATTGTGTGCAATCCCAGTGGCACAGGGAGAGGGTAAGATTTACCTACGATCTGACAGCACTGGTATGCACCGCCACAGCGATCCAGGCATCCGGAAATAGAGAGAGCAACGGTCGCAATGGTCACGCTGCCGCTCTGACCAATCAAAGACGTGGTCAGGCCAATCAGATGCCCCTGCGGAGCCGCATCACGCGGTGCCCAAGTACGTTAGTGCTGGCGGCCGAGAGGTGTCAGCACTGTGCTGGTGCGAGACGCCACAAATCCAACTATTTCTCGAACAAAATGTTCAAAATGTGGAAAAAGTGTCTAAGTTCCAAATTTTTCAAAGTTGATGACCTTTTTTTTTTTTCTTTTTTTTTAGTCATCAAGTTCCAAACCTTATCATAACAACGATAAAAACGGCGGTCCGCAGGGAGATAGACTTGTTCGTACAGAAATTGTACACGGATCGTGGTGGTGGTGGTGGTGGTAGGGGTGGTGCTGCACCTTTCCAAAATTCTTCCAAAAAGGCAGCGATCCCATTCGTACGATAATTTGAGGCCCTGTACGATCCAAATGGGAATTTCGAAAACTTGATGACCTTTTTGCAGTGATCCCAGAGACTTTAGTTCGTTTGATGGACATAGGGCCTCAAATTATCGTACGAATGGGATCACTGATCTCTGTATATGAAAAGTTTCCGTCTAAATGTATGCAATAGGGTGACGCCACAGGTCGAAGAGGTCGAAGAGTGTCAATTTTAAGGAAGCGCCAAATATTGTTAAAGTAGGATTGAGAAATAAACAAGGAACACAAATTTTACCCATAACTGTTTTGTTATTTACATACTTTTTCATAAAATTAAATAATAAAAAATCAATAAACGTACTATTCACAGTTCACGAAATAAAATCACTCTAGCTACACGTTTTCTCATAATAATTCTTTAAGGTTATATTTACAACATTATTACTGCAATTCGTTTACTATTGCTACATTCATACCACACCTCTATTTTCACCAGCACCATTCTGGAAGGTTTTTGAACTGTTATTTATAGAAAACGCTGGACACTTTTTCACATTTTCTCCCTTAAGAGTAGGGATCCTGTAGGAGGGATGCGCCATTCACATTCAGCTCATGTGCCATTGGCTGAAAATTTTGGGGGACCGCTTGAATTTATAATAATTTTTTCGTGTAACCTATTCTATTTTAATATAAATTTTTAATTATCATTAAATATAGTTCATTTTTTTTCTGTATTTGATGCAATTCATTATTTCATAATTATTGCAATGTTTGAATCATTCGCGCGCAAAATCGAGTTCCGGTCCCCCAGCAATGTACATGGCGCATCCCTCCTATAGGATCCCTACATAAGAGATGTTACTCCTTACCTCTACCGTCCATATTACCAAATTAATAATACAACCCAATTTAGAATATGGCGACTAACTATAGTCGACGTTTGATTGGTTCGAAAGGAACCAATGAAAATACTCTTTTAAAATCGTTCTTTTCAATGATCATTTATCATCAGATAAACACACAGTTTAAATACAATATATTTAATTACTGTTGTGTGCCTGCTTAAAACTTCAATTTAATCATAATTAATCAAATTATTATAAACAGAAATAAATATATGTAATAATAAATAACAGGATTCTATAATAAATCAATATAATTGAATATATGGTAAAATGAATTTAATTTTGACATCAACATTTATTTTCATTTTAGAATACTTTGTGCCAATTTTAATAACATATGTAAGTATTAAATGAATTATTGGAAAATAGTAAATTATTAATAAGTTGAACAATAACATTGACAACCGAAATCAATCCCTTAAGAATGTTGTTCGTATATTTAACCACAATTTGGTTTCCTTATTCTTAGCTTACAAGACATTTATATGGAAAAATACGAGTGGAAATTGAATTGCGTAAAAAATATTTTGAGGTGAAACAAGAAATGGCAGGTATTTCAATGGTAGATGAATTTTCCAAATATGCTAAACTTCAGAGAAAATGTAACTCATTAGAAAATCAGCTAAATCAAATAGGTAAAGAAATCTATATACATATATAGTAATAGATTATATTTGCTGAATTAATATAATAAATATATAATTATCTATTATACATATATAGATAAATGGAGATTATATGAAAGAAAAAAAGCAAAATTAATGATGACTTATGGCTTTTATATTATCAATGTAAGTATTATATTGTGTATATTTGTGATAAGTTTAAGTAGTGTTGCTCATTAACGTATTAACAATCTAACTTACAAATCACATATCACATACATTTCATAAATCTTTCTTACCAATAGAAATAAATAAATCTTATTTATATTTATTTAAGGGCATATTAGTAATGATTCTTTTGTACATGTATAATAATGAATCTGTGGTGGAACTACCAAAGGATTCATTATGGCCAATTAATTACTTTTTAAGTTGGCCAACTACTCGAGAAGACTCCATTTCTTTAATTATGTGGTTTATGATTATGAGAACTGCTCTATTTAAATGTTAATAAATTTCCTTAGAAATAATTATTAAATAAACTCATCTATAAAAATGTAATTTATATAATTATAGAATAAGAAAATACTTAAACATTATTTTGCAGTGACGACTAATTTTAAACAATTATATTAAATATATGATTAATGTGTAGTTTATTGAATTTATTTGAAATACATAAATTTATTAAATGATTGCTAGTTTTTCATTTGTTTTAAATTCTTGTTGTATTCTCTGTTCGATTTTGGGCAATAACATTTTATCAACTTGTAAATTAAAACTAACATATACAGGTTTTCCCAATTTTCTCGTCAAACGTTTAGCTATGTTAGTTGATGTTTCATCTTCCACTGCACCCATTATTTTTGTAGCAATAGGTATTGATTCATAATTTGATGTAAGTCCAAAAGCAAGATCATTCATGACTGACTGTTTAGCATCTCCAATCCATAAATATAAACTATCTTCCAACCTTATAATGTGACAACTAATTTTAACCTCGCCAACGTCATCAATAAATTCATAAAATTTAAAATTGCAAGGATTTTGAGTGTGTTGATTGGTTTCTATGTCACTAGCCATATTTTCCGTCAATTTAATTATCCGTCAGCTATAACAATGATCTAAAAATATAAATAATATAATAATTTAAAAATAATTACAATCCTTATTCTTTCAAAAAAGCCGATAGTCACCGCTCAAACAATATAAACGCAATGTCGCAAGATATTTAGTGAAATGTGGTGTACTCGATTTTGATTGGTTCGCGTTTAAAATCTAATTGAAGAATACGAAAGGTAAAATAATGACTTGAAAATCATGAAATTAAATTTAGTTGTATTGGAAAATTGTCCATTATAAATATACGTAAAATGTAAATGACAATTATATTTTGAAAATGTTTATTTTGAATAAAAAAAGATCTTTATTCGTAGGAATAAAGATGAAATATTCGGATGATTTTAGAACACTTCCGGATGCCAAGCTCGGTCATAGAAGCTTAGAGTCCCTGCTTTCAGCTTGGTAGACCCCTCTTCAGTTCATCGTGGCGCGCAGGCGCAACAAGATCTTCTGATTAAAGTATCCATTTTGATCACATGTGAGTATCTCGAGCTGTTCTCGATTTCGGTGAAAACTAATGGTGCTAATTGTCTGAACGAGTACAAGAAATTAAAGAATTCGACAGTGAAACATCAGCTGGTTCGTATTGATGCGACAGTGTTAATTAAACGTCGGGAATTAAAAAATGTAATAGCTCATGCCGATGACAACGGGCTGCTGGCAATGTGGCTAACACTCTTTCGCGCCATCTTCGCACAATTTTCCTTTAAATACGCGACTAGTATAGAGAAAAATATATTATTCGTCAGTTTTGTTGCTTATTTAGTCATAAAGGTGTTAATATTTAATAACTTATCTGATATCTGATGTCCTATTGTTTATGCAAAAACAATCTTTGGTTAGCCTACATATTTCCTTTTCAATTGAATATTTCTTAAGAGAAATGTTCAATGTAAAAACAAATGTATTGTTTTAAAATCATTATCGATTGTATTTTTATAATCGATAGTTGTGCCAAAGAAACATCTGATTAAACTAAATTAACTATAAATTCGATTTCAAACTCGTAACAGTTTAATGCCGGATTTTATCGTTGTTCTGCCACATGGCCATTTATGCCCGACTTAATTCCACTTATACTTTTTACAATTCAAACTTTTTTACAATTCTTATATACGATTAATCCTTATTATTTATATATTTTTAAACACCGGCTATGTATGATCTGTTTAATTCTACCATCTTGATTTACTTTTAAACTGCTTACATTAAAGGACAATTACTGCTTATACCTAGAATATTTAGTTGAAAATTTACATGATGGTGGCAACTCTGTCTCTGCCTCTTCTTACTGTTCAATTTTTCATCTATATGATCAAAAGGCTATGGTGTGTTTTAAACACAACCATATGTTCTCTTGATTAGTGATATAAGAATATCCATATTAAATGTATCAAGTAACACAGATAAATATTTAAGATATTATATTCATTTATATGTTGTTGTATGTGATACACTTAAAAAAAAAAAAAAACCACAACATTTAATAATTATATTTTCATAACACATTCGTAAATACATATATTTGATTTTTTTTTTTTTTTTTGTATTTTTTCTCATCTTTTTTCAGATTTATCAGTTTCTTTTATCTTTCTCTATCCCCCCACCCCCTTATTCTTCCCTCACTTCATTCATTCAACAATTGAAAAAGATATTCTACATTTGACAATTTTTATTTTACAAACAGACCTTCACAATTTACAATGGCAGACATTGAAGATACTCACTTTGAGACTGGTGACTCTGGAGCATCAGTAACATACCCTATGCAATGTTCTGCACTGCGTAAAAATGGATTTGTCATGTTAAAATCTCGACCCTGTAAAATTGTGGAAATGTCTACTTCAAAGACTGGAAAGCATGGTCATGCTAAGGTTCACCTTGTAGGCATTGATATATTTACCTCAAAAAAATATGAAGATATTTGTCCTTCTACACATAATATGGATGTGCCGTTTGTTAAGCGAGAAGATTATCAGGTAATATGCATAATGTATAGTAATAATAATTCATATTTTAACTGCAACAAAAATAATAGTAATTAATACCATGTACTCTTCTAAATTCAGTTGACAGATATATCTGACGATGGGTACTTATGTCTGATGGCTGATAATGGTGATCTTCGTGAAGATCTTAAAATACCTGATGGTGAATTAGGAGCTCAATTACGTGCTGATTTTGAGGCAGGCAAAGAATTACTTGTAAGTATAATTTTAATTCATTCATTTACAATTACAAACAATATTTTTAATATGGTAATAAAACAAAATTTTTAATATGGTAATAAAAAGAAAAGTTTCATTTAAAATCTCATTAATATTATGTGTATCTGAATAATGGAGAATAATGGTAATAACTTATAATTTGTAAGAATTATGAACTTTGACCATATTGAATGATTTTTATATTTTTTTTTTTTTTTTTTTCAGTGCACTGTACTAAAAGCTTGTGGCGAAGAGGTGGTAATTGCCATCAAAACCAACACTGCCCTTGACAAATAATTGTGTTCAGTTTTAATCGTACACAACTAAACTATCCGCTTAGCCAATCGACACCTTCTCATTGGTAAAAAAAAAAAAAAAACAAAAAAAAACATAAGTCCACAGTTCCAACCAACAGCAGTTCAGCAGCGGACAAAAACATCTTTTTATCTAAGTAACATCTACTTACTTACTAATATTAAAAAAAAAGAAAAACACATGCTAAAGTTTCGAAGCAATGTAAAACAAGAAGAATTGGGTTTATGGAATTCTCAATACCCAGTTTTAGACATACACAATTGCATACACACATAGGCACACACATACGTTGTTTGTTATACAAAAGATACAACTTTTCAAACAAAAGTTGATTAAGAAATAAAAATTAAAAAAAGCCTTTACACATCCTCGATTTTTTTTTTTTTTTGAAGACTTCAGTATTCAATGTTTTGAAACAACTTATGTAAAAACCACAAAAGCTTTCTAACTTAATATACACGTAAAGTAAATAGACACGTATTGCTGTTGAAGACCAAGGTTGAGATGCATTCTATAGTGCGGAACAATTTTTCATATGAATCCGATAAATCTTTATGTATTAATAACATTTAGTATCCTTTAGTTATTGTTATATAATTTTATGAAGTAAAAATTGCTACATGATACAATTATGTAGATAAACTACATATTTGTTAACAATGGCTATAGAGATAATTTGTAATTTTACATATAAGCTTTATAAGCACAGAATGCTTGCAGAATGCTTTTATAAATTATAAATCCATTATTTCTAATTGTAAAAGTATTATCTAAAAAGCAAGACAAATAAGTTTTTTAACAAGTCTAAGAGAAATAAGTTTAAGATAACGAAAAAGATGATTTCGTTTCTTTTATTTATAATTTGCCTAAACTATTTCGAATATGTTCTTGTAACATATGATAGTACTTTTTTCAATAAACATTTTTTACCTTAAATCACATGACTGTTATATCACATAAGTTATCTAATAATGAGATAGCTTACAACGAAATATCGTGGCAAATTTTTAATTTTATCAACATGAAATATTTTTTAATCATAAACTAACAATTATTTACTATTTTGTCATACATAACATATTTATATTTATTATTCCAATAATTGCCTTTATTATTAAAAGTAATCATTTTCGAAATATTTCTTTCTGTACTTAGTATCCTTTTTCATTAAATATCCGAATTATTTATACTTTGTTTCTATTATATATTCAAACTTACCCCCTGCTTTCTCCTTTGTATTATTATTATTATTATTATACTGTAAGATCGTATTTGTATAAAAAATTGTTCCAGAAAATACAGTCTGAAAAATGTAGATTAATATACGATGAAAATAGAAATTGATTGATACAAGATCGTAACCAGAGCTTTTATGGGAAGGTATGTTGTGTGCCCCTACCTCTCACATATGGTTATGCTAAAATCCTACAAAACAACATGTTTTTATTTCAATCATTTCTCTTCGACTGTCATCATTATTTATTTAAGACTATCATTTATATCATATCTTTTTATTAACAAACATCATCTTACCAAAGTATTATATACAAGCATGAGATTAACAAATTACTATAAAGATATTAATACGTGTCGTATGAACTCTCAACAAAGTATTATTACAAACAACAACAAGAAGAAGCTAGCTAATGTCATATTATTATCAATGATGAGAGTATTCACGATTGACATCTTTGTAGAATATATATAAGTAATCAAAATTTATGAAGATATGCCTTCCTTGAGAACTTTGGTTCATTGCACAGTGAACAACCTAATACTTATCTATTATAATCTAAATGAGCAGAAGTATCTAATATTAATATGAAATAAATCATCATCTCTCTTTCTCTCTCTCTCTCTCTCTCTCTCTCTCTCTCTTTCTCTTTTTCTGTATTCCAAATGTGCTATGTTGGACCAGGTTCATATTCTTTAAATGTGCTTTGTTACGGACAGTAGCAGAAGAATTGAAGGAGGAAAAGATAATGATGTCGTGTGACAAACAAAATGCGCGAATGCCTAATAGCAAATATGAGATAGATCTCTAAGAAAAAAAAAACAAAAACAAAAAAATAAAGCTCAAGTTCTTTTATGTTGAACAATTTGAGCTATCGCATTTTTTTATGTGGATATTTAATAATTTTCCTTTTTAAGTAACGAGACTTCTTCATGGTGTCATCTTAATCATGTAAATGTTGAAATTTCAATAATCTTATGTATCAGATGATATCTTCAAAATAACATTGTCGTATATTGTATTAATAAGAAAAAAAAATACAAATTCAAACGTTTTCACAAGAGGCAGCAGGAATTTTTGTTTGTTGAATTTTAACAGTTTTCTTTTTCTTTCTTTTTTTTTTTAATTATTCATTTAAAAGTAAAAAAAAAAAGGTGACACCAAGTAATAAATAATACAAGAAGAAAAAATATAAAATAAAAAAAAAAAACATTGTAACAATATCTCATTGTGCAACATTTAATACACTTAAAATGATACTATAAACATAATCTTAGAATCGACAATGAGACATAATCTTTTTTAAGCTCAAATAGTTATATAACTACTTTAAATGAAAACATTTGATTTCTTATGATTATGAAGAAATAAAAAGAAGAAAAAAAAGGAACAAAGCAAAATGTGCACTGTCATCCTTTTTAGAATACAGAGGTTATCATATTACTCTTGTAATGCAATGAAAACTTATATTAAATAACAGACAAAATGTTAATCATATAAAAATGGTATTGTGAATTAAACAAAGAAATCATTAAAAATAAGAAGAATCATACCATTTGATTTATTATAACATAACAACTATATGTTTGAATATCCTTTGAATGAAATTATTCTATACGGTGGCAGTGCAATAGCAAGGCAAGAAAAGAGACAGGACAAAATTTAAAAGTTAAATATAAATAAATGGTGCGTTTAACACAAATATGCCTTATTTCATTAGACTAGTACATTATGCCGGAGTCTCTCAACGTTTTTGATAAAAATGCATTTGATAATGAACTGTATTAAGAAATGTTTGAATAATCTGAGACAAATATAATTGTTTAATTTCTTCACAAAAGGGTATTGTGTCATGGAACATAGAGATACAACGTATTGAAAAATTAAAGTTATTTCAATTTTGTCTCATTATCATTTTGTAAAAAGTGCCATTTAGGTACCACACTGGTTAAAGATCAATGAACATTGTGGAACAAATAATATGAATAATAATATGCATTATAAATTGCAATATTAGAAACAATAATGTGTCATTGCTATGAATAGACGCTACAAGCAATATTCCAAATTCCAATTGATTTTTCTAACTATTATTTTGTATTCTCTAAATGTTAATGATATAATGTTGCATATATAACATTTGAAATAACCCAAAGAACTATTTGTTGTATTATTTTTGTATTACAAAAATACCTGACAAGAATAATACAAATTATTTTCTTCCTTTATTGACATGAGTCAAAGGAAGTTTCGTTTCCAAATTTTTTCACATATAATACATAATACATTTTGTTATAACTTGTAATTTTATTATAAATAATGATGATGACGATGATAATGATGATGATGATGATGATAAAAAGCAAAAAAAGAAATATGTAAAGGTTAGAAGAAAAAAAATATCTACAATATTTTTTATTCGTTTCATTCAAAATTGTTATCTTCTATAAAAAAAAAAAAAAAACAAATGTTGAGAAAGATTTGTTTTAACAGAAAGAATAATCTAAAGAATTTCATATAATTTAAATGAATACATTAAAAGTACTCATTATATATATATTAGTATAAAGAGATCAGGTAAGTTTAGTTATTAGTTTTACATATTCTCTTATATTTTCTTCTTTAAAAAAATCATTTGTTATTGTTTTCATTTTTGTTTTGAATAAAGAGAAGACAAAATAATAATAATAATAATATCTTTTATATTATATTACAAATAGAGTATATGTATACATACATACATACATACATACCATACCATCGAACCACTTTTCAATTTAAAAAACTTTGTTAGTGATTATAGAAATAATGGCCTTCTTACCTGTAATACGTATATTCTGTAAGCACAAATAAAGACTGAGAAAAAATATTAATAACTTAAATTTAATTCTAAGAAACATCTACTATGTGTGTAGAAATATGACAAAATAAATCATTCTTTTTCTTTTTTTTTCCTTTTCGTTTGAATTTCTCTTTGTTTTTATCCGTATTGCTTACTGTATAATTTGTTAAATTAAATTGTTTGTTTTTATTACAGCATATGTATGTATTTGACATTTCTATGAATAAATGATTAATCTCATATACGTGATATATATATAAATATTAAATATATAATCTATATTATTTAAAACAACTATTTCAAGATTTAATAAATATATCTTAAAGAGAAGTGAAATGTTTTTTTTTTTTTTTTAACAAAAAAATGTGTATTAATCAAACACTTAATAATCAAATTACTAATTATCAAGTGTACTCTTCTCTTCACTGTAGTATATAACTATGTATTAAAATTATGTAAACAAATCTAAGAAGTTATATGATTGATGAAATTCACGAAGTTAAAATGATGCTATTATTTTATTCAAAATGGTTTTTTTTTTTTTTTTGCAAATGTTAATTGCATGTGAGTAATATAATATCCTGTTAATGTAATAAATTTGAAAATATCAACCAAAAATACAAATTTTACAATCTTTTTTTTTATGATTTGAATAATACAGTTAATGATTTGACTGTAATAAGACTATAATTGAGAATTAATTATATTTTCCAAATAAAGCTTTTTCTTTTTTTTTTCATTTTAAAATCTGTCTTATTATATCCCTTGTACACTGTTCAACAATTATAATATATCGTTATTGTTCATACGCATACATACAAACAAGAAAGAGAAAATATATCTGCCCTCTGAAAATGAAGAGTTTTAGAATAAATATACTGTATTAATTTCATTATTATGTCATATAAGATGCCTGAAAGATAAAACATGTGATACATTTCTGTAAAACGTCATTTGTATAACATGTTTATTTAACGTGTAGAAGTTATTTATACCTTTGGTATAATTCAATTTTATATTCCAGTTTGGCAGTTCACAACCTGCAGTTTATCAATTCATTTTATTTATTTAACGTGGGGGGGGGGAGAGAGAGAGAGAGCTTTAGCACATTGTATAACCAAAATTGGTCGAGTTAAATACTTTCAAAGTTGTAAAAGTTAACAAATCTTACATACATACATTTTGTTATATTTCTATTTAATTTATATTTAAATGTATTGTACATGTTCGAAAACATCAGATCACTAAATGGTAAAAATATTTAAATCATTGATCCCAAAAATATATAATTTGTAATTTTAGCAAATGATTTAATTAGAAATTTAAATCTATTTAAATATATATATATATATATAAACTCTATGAAGCATTTTGATCTATTTTGAATAACTTTGTTAACATATTTGCTATTATTTTTTCACATAGAGATGTACTAAAGATCTTATTTATCTTTTCAAAATATCTATTTTTCTGTATAAGAAATATGTTCAAATGAAAGAGATCAAAAATAAAGTAAATGCAAAATATGTAATAGAATTTCTTCAATTCAACTAGAAATATCCAAATAACAATATGCATGGAACGTATTATCAACATACTTTACATACCTGAATGATTATACTATGCAAGTGCAAATATGATTATTTACTTGCATAAATAGATAAAACATACTCTGTCGAAAGATTGATATATTGCTATTATGAACATGCAAAATATATAGGCATTGAACAGAAGTTCATTCAAATAGATTGAATTATCCTTGCATATTTTGTCATCTGAGGAATGAATGTATAATTTAACAATAATTATATAAAGGTGTGAATTTAGTCAAATAAGGCAATTCTTGCTTTTCAATAGGTTGGACGAAAGCAAGAACAATTTATTTGTGCTAAAACATTTTTTTTTTTTTTAGTAACAAATTCTGTTTTATTTATAGATATACATCTAAATCTACTAATAACTGACTAAAATGTTGAATGCAAAACATGCTCTGAACAAAGTAAAATTATAGTTAAGAATAAACAAGAAATTAATATACAACTAAAAATGCCCCAGAATAAATCTTTTGCATTTTTTTTCTTTTTTTTTCTTTTTTTTTTCACCTAGTGTAGAAATAACAGTGTTGCCATGAATTTGTGTATGTGTGATTTTAATTGTTTTGCTTTATCACAATGATAATCGAAGCTGTTATTTTCTTGTAATCAGTTATTAGCATTTCGCCTTTGTAATGCTGCAGCTAAATCTTGTCTTAATGCTGCTTGTTGCCTTTGGTCTGCTAAAGATTGAACAGATCTTAGACCGTTAACGATATCTTTAGTTTTACCAAAATAAATTTCGTTAAGTGTATTTCGAATTTTATTTTCCATATCCTCAACCATTCTACCAATGTTAGCAATATGAGGTGATGTTTCACTTATTTGCGCATCTTGTTCCACCTTAAATGATAATTAATATAATACCAAAATTATATGCTGAATCTCTAATAGATAAAAACATGAAAATGCATTACCTGTCTGGTTAAGCTGCCTCCTAAATTCATAGTACCTGAACCGTGTTTATTTGTTTGTAACCACAACATCGCAGTTGAAGTTAATTTATAATGCGCATTTCTACCGGTTGATTTTTCCTGCACTTCAACAACATGTATCGAGTCCCAGCAACCTTTAATTTTTTTAGATCCATCACCAGCTTTTTTTATTAATATAACAGCAGCAAAGCCATGGTCGAGATCCCATAAGTAAACGGAAGACACACCACCTTCAAAATAAAGTTCCCGATATTGGTCGAATGCATGATTAGCATCTATTTCTAATTTTCTTAATCTTTCAGAAGGCATCGATCCATCTTCTAAAGGTGGATCATATGTATTGCTCCATGGAGATCTGTGATATAAAAATGATCAATTAAAATAGAATATTTTCTTTCTTTTCTAACCGTAGATAGTCATTTTATTACAAACCTATAAGAATCCCCATCTCTGTTATAATCGCAAAGAAGATAATCTTTGCCAGATTCCTTATCTTTTGCTATTTTTAAAGGTTGATCTACAGAAGAAAGTAAGTCCTCGCATAAAGAAGGAACTAAGTCTATGAGATCGCTTAAATTCTTCTCAATTTGTTGAGGAGGTAATCTTCTCATTAAGTCTAAAGCACAGTCCATTTGTTGTTCAGTCTAAAATATTTAATGTTAATACAAAATTTGTAAATTATTCTATATATATATATATATGTATATATGTATGTATATACATAAATTATTGAAACACCATTAAGGAGAACGCCATTTTGACATTTCTTCAAAGTAGGTTATGATAAAGTATAATGATTAAATTACATCCAAACAATAACCATAACAAAACTATCTGATTACAGCTTCTTAGATATTATGATAAATGATTTTACAAACATAAACTGTGTTTGTATATATAAATCTTATGTGTACGTCAACAGATTTTAAAGCAAATAAATGTTCGTGACTCACCATGATATATTGTTTCTAAATTTTCAATTATATATTAAATAATAAGGAAAGCAAATTACGACAACACTATAAAATAGTATAATATAACAACAATCACAAAATTGTAGTTAATCCCTAACTGTTTTACTTGCATTCATAAAAAAAACGAACATTTAAAGGGCGTGTCGAAGTGACCAGCGATTGGCTGGTTATAAAGCGTTCTGAAGAATGAGATTGATGTTCCTATATGGTAAATATATATCAATCTATTATAGAATCTATAAAATAAAAAATTATCACTTTTAATTGAATATATTAAAAAATAAATAATATGAATTAAATAATAATACGGATGCAGGATAATAAAATATATATAAAAGTTACTATACAATACCATGAAAAGTAGTGTAATGAAAAAAAATCAAATAGTTTATTATATCAAAATTAATATATACATATATCGTTATTTTCATCAGAATTATATTTATAAAATATTTCTTATTTTTAATAAAAAATAAAAACAATATTTGATTTTTTTTTGTCCCCAAACTAATTTTGAATCAAACTAATAATGTTACTAGTGTTTTTACTTGACCAATCATAAAAGTTGTTCTTTGATAATCGCTTTATCGTTAAAACTTTTGCAGTACATTGAAAACTTATTATTAACGCATGATAATAAATATTTGACTAATTTATTTATTCTTACATTTAAAATCCATTTTTGATCTTAATGATTTCAATTTGTTGAATATTAATTATAAAATGTTAAATATATATAAATCTAGTATTTTTTTTGTAAACGACGCTTTAGTTACTTTCCTAAATAAAAATAAGTGCGTAAAGCAAATAGAGGTTTACAGTCTACACCCCTCACTTCTCTCTCATGAAATATTTATTTCTTTAAAATTATATTATATAAATTGAGCAAATTGAATATCACTTATAAACAATTTTAAAATCGATATGAATCTTTAATTATTTTTGATATATTTTTTTTTCATTTAAAATTCTAATAAATAAACATATATGTAAATTCAATGTTGCACTATACTTGTTAAGTTGCCATTTCCTGTGAACTTTGGAATATTGTGATCTCGAACTTCGATCTTCCTAATCACGACTTTACCAAGTAATATTGTTTAGATTACAATAATTCAGTGTAGTATTACTGACGAATATCATATGTTTAAAAACAGCATTATGCTTTAATAAAGCCTGTAAAAATCCCAACAAAAAATGCCAAATTAGGTAAATATATATTAAAAAATATAATTAATAAAATATCAAGCGATCATATATGAGAGATATATACGTGTATATATATATATATATATATAATCTACATTTAACGATTTTTTACTAGACAAACGTTTTTTTAATTACAAAATTAAAGTAATCAAAAAATATTATTTTATATTTATTACTAACAAATGAATTGATTTTGATAGTAAAGATTTATTATAATTAAATTGTTATTAACTATGATTATTTAAATAATTTGTCACTTATTTCTTATCAATTCTCTATTCATTTGTAATTGTGTCAAATATTTTAATGTCAAGTGAAAATTCTTCAAGAGATAATACAGTATCATCTAATCTCAATAAATGTAGGACACCTTATATAATATTTTAATTAAAAAAAAAAAAAAAAAAAAAATACTTTGTGCTATATATAATTCTATTTTGAATTAATTTAGTCATATTCTGTCATATATTCCTGACGCTTGATTTATATTATATTTTATTTTATTTAGAAAATAAATAACGTACATTTGTAGAAATAAAGTATTTCTATAGTCGCTAGAAAAATAAATATTTTGAATTAGTTTAGTCAGTTTTGATGATTTATATTTTATGGAAGAATAATTAAGGTATGTATTATTTTCCAAGTATATTATCACAAATTTTGTTTTTTTAGATTGAGAAATAAGTATATGTCTTCTACAAAGCGCACAATTTAGAAATAATTCATTACAAGATGGGCATCCTATCCTCGTTGAAAAGATCATCAATTTTACATCTTATGCTTGGCATTACATTTTTTACATCTGGCTTAATAATAAATTTCTTCCAATGTATTTTATACTTTGGGCTTAGACCATTCTCTAAGTATTTTTATCGCAAGATCAACTATTATCTTTGTTATTCATTTTATAGCGGTAAGTTTGTACTGCGTAGAGAAAATAATAACAATAGAAAATATATCTTCATCATCATCATCATCATCATCATTTATTTATTTATTTATATTTAATGTTGTGTATATTTTATTTATAGAATTAGTATGTATGGCAGAATGGTGGTCCGGATCAGATATTATATTTTACATAGATAAAAAAGACTATGAAAAATACTATGGCCGCGAAAACGTATATATTCTAATGAATCATAGTTACGAAATAGATTGGCTAATTGGATGGGTAGCATGTAGCCGTTTTGGCGTATTAGGGGTAAGTAATAAATAAGCTCTATGTATTTGTATATAAAAGAAAAACAAAAAAGAAGAACAATGAATGAACAGTGATCTTTAAAATTACAGAATTGCAAAGCATATGCTAAAAAATCTATATTATATATTCCTGCGTTGGGATGGGCTTGGAAATTTGCAGAAAGTATCTTTTTAGAAAGAAATTGGAACAAAGATAAAAATGTAATAGGAAAGCAAATTAAAGAATTACTTGATTATCCTGATCCGATATGGGTAAGTAAAAATAGTTTTTAAATAACTTCTCATTATTATTATTATTATTAACACTTTGTTGACCGGTCCCGAGTTAACTCGTGTTTCTGTGGCCGAACGTTGCTGACCGGTCACGAGTTAACTCGTGATGCGCTTTTTTTTCGCATCACGCTATTTAAAAGGAAAACGCAGCGAAAATAAATATTACAATAATAACAGATATTTTTTTTTTTTGTACTACTGTTATATTGTTTATTATACGAAGAAGAAATATTTAAAGTCCAATAATAAGTACAATTTATTAACAATTATTTATATTGTTTTACTTTTCAATTCAATTACGAAGTAATAGCTGGTGACATGGGATAAATTCTTTAAAAAATAGCCAATCAACAAAGTGTTAAGACGAAGTATTAAGGAGCAGTTATTTTGTTTTTTTTTACCGAGGGTAGATTGCTAGCTTCACCCTCGAACCCTCCTCCTTTATCTGGGCTTGGGACCAGCTAGCTATTATCTAGATACTATCTAGATATTAACTAGGCGGAGTTAAAATAATATACAGGGCGATTCTCGGAATGAAAGCGGGTAATAACTTTTTTTAAAGTAACAATAGAAAAAAATCATAAAGGAAAAAGTTATATGGCACAACAAATGTCAACTTTCTGTGATCTTACTTTTTTTTGAAAATGCATCGATGCACCCGCTAGATGCAGTTGCACTTTTTTTTTTAAATGGAACTCTACATTTTTTTTATACAATTCGAATCCTTTCTTTATTCTGCGTTAAAAAGTATTAAGTGAAGGTCATCGAAATGTCTATAATTTACGAGATATTTGAAGTTATATAAGGAGAATATAATAATGTATTGTTCCAACATCAATTCAAAACAATTCAAAAAATGTAATGAAAAATGTAAAAAAGCGCAATAGAATGTGCGCATCTAATTGTTTAGAATGAAATGGAGAAACATTTGAACATTTATTGTAATAAAATACATTACTGATGTAAAACTACAAATATCTCGTAAACTATTGACATTTCGATGACCTTCACTTAATACTTTTTAACGCAGAATAAAAAAAGGAATCGAATAGTGTAAAAAAAAATATGAGGTTTCATTTAAAAAAAAAGTGCAACTGTATCTAGCGGGTGCATCGATGCATTTTCAAAAAAAAGTAAGATCACAGAAAGTTGACATTTGTTGTGCCATATAACTTTTTCCTTTATGATTTTTTTCTATTGTTACTTAAAAAAAAGTTATTACCCGCTTCCGTTCCAAGAATCACCCTGTATATTTGCTGATATAAAACATCAAATATCTCGTAAACTATTGACATTTCGATGACCTTCACTTAATACTTTTTAACGCAGAATAAAAAAAGGAATCGAATAGTGTAAAAAAAAATATGAGGTTTCATTTAAAAAAAAAGTGCAACTGCATCTAGCGGGTGCATCGATGCATTTTCAAAAAAAGTAAGATCACAGAAAGTTGACATTTGTTGTGCCATATAACTTTTTCTTTTATGATTTTTTTCTATTGTTACTTAAAAAAAAGTTATTACCCGCCTCCGTTCCAAGAATCACCCTGTATACTACATTTTATATTTCTAAATTGAATATTTAATAATAATTTGTATTTAATGATTTTCAGTTGCTTCTATATGCAGAAGGGACACGTGTTACACCAAAAAAGATAGAGGCTTGTCAAAAATTTGCCAAAGAAAAGAATCTACCAATTTTAAAATATCATTTAACTCCACGCACAAAAGGATTTATTTGTAGCATTCCCAATATGAGAGGAAAATCAATTGCTATATATAATATTCAAGTAGCATTTAAAGAAAGCGATCCCGTAAAACCTACTATGACAAATTTACTTTTAGGAAAAAAAGTAGAAGCTCATATGTATATGAAAAGAATACCTCTAAGCGAAGTACCGGAAGATGATGATGCTGCCGCTGACTGGTTGCACAAATTATATCAAGAAAAGGTTTTTGCATATTTTACATTACATACTCTCGCAAATATTATTATACATTATTCATTTTGTTAGTATAATTTAAGCAATTGTTATTATTTGGTTTTTTTTTCCTAATAGGATTATATGATGGAAAGTTTTCATAAGACTGGTGATTTTTTTGCAACAAGTGGTGTCGCTAAACCAGACACATTCATATTAAATAGGAGCTACGCTTCTTTGTTCAATACCATATTTTGGTTTGTGGTAGTATTAGTACCAATGATATATTATCTTATCAAACTCTTTTTATCTGGCTCAACTTTATACTTTTCCATTGGAGTGGGCATCCTTCTTATATGTAAGTATATCAAATCATTTTATAATAATTTACATTTTTATAGAATTTATTTAAGTATAATAATTATAAGTAAAATATATATATCTTTATTTTAGTTTATCTGCTAATGGATAAAACAATTCAAATGTCTGAGATAAGTAATAGTTCATCGTATGGAGCTGCTGATGCAAAGAAAATAGAGTAAAGTCTAATTTTGACTACATAATAGACCAATAAAAAGTGTCAAAAATTATTATTTTTTGAAATATGAATGAATAATTTACAAATCAATACATAAATTGAGGCTTATAAAATATAAACATATTTTTGTTCGATCAATCTTAAATATGTTCGATATAGATTAGATTTATTAATATATTCATATGTATCTATTTCAATAAGACATATCTTTTTTTTGTGTTAATTTTTTTTTGTTATATACACTAATTGTTATTGTTAATAAATGTTTTAATCTCAGGTTTGTTAGAGTAAATGAAATTCAATTGTCAACTCCTTGGATAATTGTTTCATGATGTTTCTCTTGATAGCCTTCGATAGGTTTAGCAATATATTTAACAGTCCGTAATTTTCCTCTAGCATCATAGTAACCATAATGACCTTTCACTGTACCATCATTGAAACGTTCCTCTAATCTGTATTGTCTGTTTTTTCTAAGGAAATGAAAATAGATGTGAACATTATCTAGCATAGCATAGCATAACAGAGATCATCCACTAAAGTGATAAAGGATTTTGATTCTTACCCGATTCCAGTATCAAATCCAAAAATATATGTTTTTGGACCTTCATGACCTTGTATTTGAAATTCTACTCTATCTCCATCAGGCGAAATTTGTGATGCATTTGTAGTAGACTTTTTTTTATCATTTTTATTATACTCAGTTTGATTTCCTGAGGTTTCCTATAAATTCCAGTTTATGAATTTTGTATGAATTGTATTATTTATATATTATCATAATTATATCGTTTCAAGCTTTTTACCTTTGTTACGTGCGTTGGCGCGTGATCGCGAGTGTAAGATAAATGATCACTTTCAATTCTAGAATCTGATATGTTAGCTTTTACAAATGTATTATTTTTGACATTATACTGATCTCTATTTCCTCGTTCATTTTTATGTTTCAATTCTTTTTTCCTTCTATTGAAATAAGTATAATAATCTTTACTTGTTATTAACGGTGGAACTAAATGTGTTATTAATTTTTTATTATTTTTATTATCAACGTTATTTTTCAAATTTGTAGTATCATTGTTTTTACATGAATTATCAAGTCCACATATATTTACAGTATTAATATCATTTGATGATTGCTTTTTTCCTATATTTTTTAAATGATCATTTAATGTTATTTTATCATCATAAATACCGCTATGTATTTCCAAAGGAAATAAACAAATAAAGACAATTCCAATTAACTGTAAATAAAAGAAATATTTCGTTAAGTTTATATTAATGGATTTTTTATAAATTAAGTATATTTCACGTAAAAATAATGTGAAAGTAGTACACTTTTTATCCAAATGCCACGCTTTCACGGTTGATTACATTTTATGGTCAATAATAATTCTAATACTCTTTCAAAACTAGGAATTTACTTATATTTTATAGATAAAATAAAACAATAAATATATACTTACAATATATGTTATGGTGTACATTGTTTCCCATAAGAAAGCACAAACTAAACTGCAACTGATTATTCTATGAAGTTATATTTTTAACTGAAGCTTAGAACTTTCCAATATACCCCCACCATATTTAACATTATTCTGTTATTTCTTGCTTTATATAAGTATTATTATTACAAAGAATAATGTTTCTTTAATTTTAATTCCAATATTTTCATTTTATCTATTTATCCTTACATTAGATTTATTATAAAAGTAAAAGTACTGTATAATAATTTTGATAAAATACCAATTACGTATTTATCAAAATGATCTAACGAACAGACTAATTTCATACAGGAAATAATTAAATGAACCATACTTCCATAGTATTGTAAATTATTAAATAGAATAAGGAAATGTCAATTAAACTAGAGACAATTTTATTAGTGTTTCATTTCCTATGAATGAAAATTAATATCACAATAATTGAATCTCATTAAAATGTCTACATAAATTTATGGATCAGAATATATATATATATATTACAGTTCGCAGAGATTTTTCAATCAGTAGACGACAAAATGAAGTCTTGTTTTCTCATTTTATTCGCTTTTATTTTGACATCGTATTTTCATTTTGGTATAGTAAGTTAAACATCTTTTATACAAACTTTTAATATAGAAATATGTATAAAAATAATGATATGGAATTTTAATTTTATATTTTAAAGGCACTAAGATGTCAATCGATTAATCAACAAATTGATGATCGGTTTGAGAAAATTTTAAAAACTTGTCGAAAACGAAATTTAGAAAATAATAATTATGATAATGATTCTAACGATTCTTCAAATGAAAGTAATGAATCTTCGGACAGTTCTTCTGACTCAAATGAAGATGACTTTAATAAAAAGTTTTTTGCCAAAAATAATAGCAGATTTTATACTAATGAATTTTTAAATGAACAAAATGATAGGTAACGAATATACTAATTTTCTTCATATTTATGAATAATATTCTATAAGAATTATTTGAAAAAATTCTTTTCTTTCAAATCTATCAATATCAGAAACAATAGAGCTGGCCAATCTACAAGAAATGCTAATTCACAATCTTATCATTTTAATAATGGAAATGAAAGATCAAGAAATGTAGATTACTATGATACAAATGATTGGGGAAATGTGAGAAATTCTGCAAGTAATCGAAATTATCAAGACAATCGTAATCAAAAACAAAATAATTCTGTAAGAAATAATAAAAATATTAATAATTATATTTTTGTTAAATAATTATCTAAATATGATATAGGAATATATTAATTTGTTATTTTATCTAATATTAGTGTATCTCTCAATGTTTTCTCAACGAATTAAATGCCGTAAGTAATAATTATTATTAATACATGTTTTTATATGTTTTATAATCGATATTCAATTGTTTATAAAGGTTGATCAAAGAGGCTTTCCAGTACAAGAATCCATGATACGAGCAATGACAGAAAGAATCTATGATTTAGAATTACGTGACTATATAGAAGAATCAATTATACAGTGTTTTCAGTTTCTTCATTCTGTTAATAGAATGGAAAAATGTGAATATTCACAAAATTTAATAACATGTTTAATAGGAAAGGGCAAAGAAGTAAGACAAATGATTATTTTGTTGTGTTAATTCAATTGTTTAGATTATTTCATGTATTAAATAATATTGCTTGCATTTTCAGCAATGCGATGATTGGAACATATAATTGATTTCCACTATTTTTGGAATTTTCGAATTTTCACCATCACTTTTTTTTCAATATGCACTACAATATTATTGCAATAATTATGAAAATTATTATCAAGATAAATAGAAATAAATAAACATACTTTTATGAAATTACTAACTTAGTTATAGACAAAAATTATAATAAATATTTATATTAACAATGAATAAACTGTATGTATTTATTTGAAATGTTTACAACAACATTATACTATATTTTGCGCTTGTAAAAACATTATCGTTCATTAGAAAGAAGCATTATTTTATATATAGCTCTTTATATATATCTATATATTATTATCATCAATTAATATATTGAAAACTGTAGTACTATCTATACATTTGTAAAAATCATAATAACCAGCAGAGTATAGTAGTATACCTTTGATCATAATTATCCTTTTGAATGTTACTTCCTTTTCTTTAAATCTTCAAAGCGTTTCATTAGATCATCAAAATCTATGTCATCATTTTCAGATGTATTTTGAGGTAATTCACTTCCTGACGGTACAGCAGGTAAATCGGGAAGTTGAAAATTATTCATTGGAATTTTTGATCGTGGCTGAGGTTTTGGTTTCTCATCGGACTAAACAAAATATTCATTTTGAAAATGATTATTAAATCATATAATAAATAAAAAGGACAATTAATTAAAATTATATCTCACTTGTTTATTTAAGTCAGGTGGAAATGATGAAGCATATGGAGGTGGTAAATCATCTTCCTGAATCAAATGTTAATGTGTTTTTAGGGTACTTATGTATTAACGGTAACACAACAGCAAAATTTCGCTAATGCGCTAATCTACACCTTAAATTGTTGCGATAAATCATAGAATAAAAAACTTTATTTAAAATCAAAATACTTTCAAAATTCAAAACATTTTATTTATAAGAAGTAATCAATCGGATTTCGGTGGAAAATGGGCCAATATAGAATTTAACATGGATTCAAAACGGTCTCTATTTTCTTTCACTTGATGCTGTCGCCATAACCCTGACGAAACCCTGACGCAACCCTGACGGTTGTTGTGTGCAAACAACAAAATTGCTCTTTATTGGCGCATTAGCGGAATTTTTGCTGCGGTGGCGTTAATACGTAAGTACCGTTTTTAGTTTGACCCATATAACAAATTTCTCATGAAAATATACGTAGGTTGGAACTTAAATAGTTGCAACTATTTATTCATAACCGATACAAAAGAGTTACATGTTTGCACCTGTTACTGTCCTTCAAAGTAGTCACCAGCGTTGTGTAGAACCCGTTAGCAGAGCCTGTTCTGTTGATGGTGCGAATGAAGCGATTTACTGCCATGTCTCATCCAGTGTTACGATACGGCGTAAGAAAGTCTCTCCTTCGCGCTCATAGCGCTCCAAGTACGTCTGAGCAGTGTCGTAACGCATCCATTTCTGCATTTCCGTCAATTCATGTGGAACCCATCGTGGCATTCGCTTCAGAACTGTTCCAGAGATTCGATAGGCAGTAGACCGCTCCATTCGCACCATCAACAGAACAGGCTCTGCTAAAGGTATACTACGCCTTCCACATGGCTGGCAACGGGTTCTACACAACGCTGGTGACTACTTTGAAGGACAGTAACAGGTGCAAACATGTAACTCTTTTGTATCGGTTTTGAATAAATAGTTGCCACTATTTAAGTTCCAACCGACGTATAATTATAGTCAAAATGACTGATCAAGTTACTCACAGGCTTATTACTATTAGCATTATCCAATGGGATGTTATATGAAAATGCAGCAGGATTAAAAGGTGTGTTCTGATCCTTTTCTGGGAAAGTAGCAGGCCCCATTGGAGGTACAAATCCTATTGGTAGATTTCCTTTCTCCGGATTCTGATTATAATCAAGAATATAAACATTATTATTAAGTCCTTATCTAATTGAAGTATTTAATATAATTTATCATTACATTTATGTTAGAATCAGGTAACAAAGGTGGTTGTGGAAAGCCAATAAATCCAGCTGGTTGTGGTCCATTGCTACCACCGCTAGCGAGATCTAAATTGTTTCTAGATTCACCACCGTTGTTTCCAATATCTATTAATAAAGTGTCCACTCCTTCTGCCATTATTTGAGGATCTGGTTCATATTCTATATCATAATTCTTAGCAATTTCAATGAGATATTTTTCAACTAAAAGTTTAGGCGGAGATTGTACGCTCATTTTATGTTTTAATTTTTCAGATATTGTTTGTATAGCTTCTTCTTTGCAAGCTTCCGCATATTGTCTTCCATATTTAGCAGTTAATATATCAGCGATAACTTTGATCTCTTGTACATCTGTTTGTATACGTGGTGCAGCCCAAATTATTGTAGAAATAGCTTCTGCTAGGCCTTCGTCTAAATTCCTATTAAAAATAATAAATATCGTGTAATAGACAAAATATGCAAGTAATAAAATACAATAAGATACACAAACTTACTTCATTTGTTGAATTAAACCAAAACGAGCAAGTAAGAGATCGCAATACATTTCAATCAATTCCATAGCTTCTACCATATAATCTTCTCTTATAATATGTTCCACTCGAATTTTGGCTCTTTCATATTTACCAGCAGCAATGTAATCAGCTATTTCTTTCTGCGCTTTTTGAGCTAATTCCGTTTTCTTCTTTTCTAATAGCTTTAACCTGTTAATAGCTAACCTAAGGTGTGTCTTTAATTTTGTATAATTAGGACTGCTTGAAAACATTTTTAAACGATTATTTTGATAATTATTTTATATTCCTTTAATAGTAGAAGAAATAAGGAATAAATTTTCTGTTCCTTTTGTTAATTGTTTATAATTTCCTGGCTAATGACAATTTCTATGTATTACAAATGTTCTGAATATTCACTATTTTAATAGTAACTATTTGTTCTTATCTCTAGGAATATTATGTTCGTAGATTAAAAAAATCAATGTATTTAACTAGATTATACCAGGTTACTGCCGAATTTCTTTTATTTTTATTCAAACAAAACTTTGATTAAAAACTATGTTGCGTTGACGTATCTCTCTTGACTATGATTATTACTAGCTATTACTTCATCTTGCCGACTGATAAAAGAAAAGTAGTAGTTAGTACCGCTAGATGGCGACAAAACTTTTTTTACCAGTCGGTAAGATAAAGTAATAGTTATTACCGCTAGACTGCACCACAGGTATTGTTTCTGTGGTATCTCTTCTTATTAATACCACGAGATAAAAGATATACAAAATGGTTAACGTGTATAGAAAGCTTTATTAATAATACGGTATCAAAATAGGTATAACAACTAGTTGAAATGAGTTTTAGTAACACGTGGTGGATGCAATGCGTTGTGTATCGTGTAGCGTGTATAATGCCATTCTTTATTGTTCTCTTTGTTTTATGTGTTGTTGGTCTGTTTTATCATTTGAGGTATAGTTGTATAAGCGGTCTGTAGAGGCGTGACTGTAGATATGCGTCCGCTACATTTCAAGAAACTTGCGCTTTCAATGCACTTCTCTTGCACATTATGATTTCCTATTATAATATAAATTTGTTTGGAATATATCTGACTAAATGCTATATCATTATTCAGTTAATTTATGAAATAATGTTTACATGAAACAATTTCTAAGCATTTACAGGAAAACATTTGAAAAAGAATTTTATTATACATTTATTTTGAAAATACAGAAAAAGAAAAAAATCTTGTTGCACAAATGCAAGCTGACTTTAGAAACGGATTTAATCTCTAAGTAAAAAAATCTGCTAAAAAGTGTTAGATGCAAGATAATTTGTTAAGGAAGAAAAACACGTTGGGAGTATGATTGATAAAAAATTGAGTGAAAGAAAGTCTTTCTCTAGAAAGAAAGAAAGAAAGAAAGAAAAAAAGAAAAGTTGTAAATATATATATATAGTATATAGTATGTATATATATGGGGGAGTATATACCCATGCCATTGAAATAACCGTGGATATTGGACTAATGAAGATGTGCTGGACCAGTCGATCTCTTTCTATCTTTTTCCCTTTCTTTGTTCACACATCCCCTCCTCAGTTTCCTCGTCATTCTCGTTCTCATTTAAACTTCTCTCTCGGCAAGCTGAAGAAGCGTTTCCATCGTCAAGGTGGCGTCTCTTTCATCGTGTTCTTCTAGCAGAGTGAAGCAAGCAAACTCGAAACAGTTCAACAAAACTGGTTTTCAAGGGCTCCTCTCTTTACTCTTGGGCTTGGTTTAGATGAAAGAGAAGGATGGGAGAACAAGAAGATGGGAGAGAAGTATATGGAAGTATAGAGGGGTAAAGTAAAGGGAAAGGGAAAGGGAAAGGGAAAAGGAAATACTAAGAGACGTAGCAGATGTAAGAGGAAGAAAGAAAAACCAAAAAGCGAGATACGAGGTGGACTCGGCGGCGAAAAGAACGGATCTCACGCGATAAAAAGAAAAGGGTCTCCTCTTTGGTGCTACCTTGGACTTTGCTGGGATTTTAGGGGGGATATAGTTGGATGGTTCATTAAATCGTCCATGTAATTTCTTCCTGGAGAACGTTGACCGACAATGTTGTCGTTTTTGATAAAACGTTTCCCTGATCTCTTAACAAATCTGTCTTTGTATAGTACTCTTTATTACAAATATTTGTAGATAATTATTATAATTAGTTGTAATTGTTTTATTTTTAATATAAATACCTTACACATCGTGTTGAAGTATTATATATCTAAGCATATAAGTAAAATATTGGTCGGTATACCAAATGGGAAAAGACCACTAGGTAGACTGAGACGTAGATGGGAGGATAATATTAGAAGGGACCTAAAAGAATTAGGATATGAAGACTGCAAATGGAAGGATCACGCTCAGGGACGGGAACAATGGCGGGATTTGGTATTTGCGGCAATGAACTTTCCAGTTCCTAATGCCAACTAATAATGATAATAATAATAATAATAATAATAATAATAATAATAATAATAAGCATATAAGTAGTTTAGATCGTTAAAAGCAGAACGACGAAAGAAATGTGTATTATTCTAGCTCGTAAGCGTTTTGCGGTGGTGATGCTGATGCTGGCCCGCATTGCTTCGTCAAATAATGCGTTGGGGTGCTTGAGAAGAGTTCGAGTGAAGAAGAAAAAGATGAACGAAGAGAAGGAAAGAAAACAGAAGCAAAGGAGCGTCAAAGAAGCGACTCTCCCTTTCTCTCTCTCTTTCTATCGGCAGAAATTAAGTTGTTAAGATGCTGCCTCGGGCGTAGCCAAGCCAAAGAGAACATCGTGAAAGTAATGGCGGTTCGTGGTTGTGCTGTGCCTTCATATCTCTGTTGTCCTGTATCCTAGTGTGCGTAGACAATTTTTTTATTCGAGGCTAGCAAGGTCAAGTACCAACTTATATACGTCGCACGTTCTAACGTTTCGCGATATTAACTTTTCTATCTAACTATTGGATTGTTAGGAAAGTAATTTCGTTTTTTTTCTGATACAATAAAGGCATTAGTTAATGCAAACCGATAAATAACAACATGTGAGATCGGTGAGATGTTAAATTTATCAAATTTAACAGATTATGTCCACTTGAAAGGCCTAGGTTTAAACTCGAAGCGAAAATTGTCTTCATTTTCACAAAAAGCAAACGAAACTACTTTCCGAATAATCCAATATTTAATAAAAGCTTATTTTTCTGACGAATTTGTTTAATTATTATATTCCCGGAGGTCCATCATTTCGTAAAAGTATTTCCTCTGAAAATGATAAAAGAGACAAACCCATTATATTATCTTTTTTTTTTTTTTCAGAGAAAGACACAAATTTTTGTAATGAGCTAATCTTTTCCAGCGTAGTCTTTCGAAGGCCGCCGACATTTCTATGATTTTTATTTCGAAATATATCTTACAACGAATTCTAGAAGATTATTTTTATTCGATTGCCAATACGTTTGAAAAAATCTAGGTGGAATTAACCTGTGTGGCGTAGCGGGGCAAGGAGAGAGAGGGAGAGAACCGTGAAGAAAAAGGTTCCAAGCGAGAAGAAAGATCGTTCAAGATAAATAATGCGGTTTGATGAATGCTTTACACAGAGAGACAGATACATCTTAATTATGTTGAAAAGGTATCATAAATAGAATACGTCATCGCGTTCGCATTTGGTATTATCGATAAAAAATAACAAGCTTTTAAATTTGAAAGGATGTCCTAAAAAAAGATTTATCTGGATAAAAGTTCACTGTATGTAAAGGAAAAAGTGTTTACGCGCCAATGATCAGCAAGAAGAACGATGATCACGGTTGAACGAATGAGAATCGAGTAGAATTGGAGACACCTGCGCGAATGATCAGGTGAGTTTTCTGTCAGGTAACTTCGCATTACCAACAATAATTGACCACGACTATTGGCAGTTTTATAGAAAACAAATGTATTTGTTAATACATTTGCGGCCGGCATATTTTTTCCATTTATTATACTAAGTACCGGCAAAAATAATAAAAATTTTGAAAAAACCAGAATTTTTACATATATTCTATATATAAATATATATAAATATAAGTTTAAATTATTTAAATTTATATTTAAATATTATATTTAATATTAAATATAATATATAAAAATATAATATATATATATTTATTTATTTAATATTTATTATTTTATTTTAATTTATTTATAATATATAATATATAGTATATAATATTTAATTTTATATTATAATATATAATATTTAAATATTATATTTAATATTATACATATATTAAAATAATATAATAATATAATAATATATAATATATATTTAATTATATTACAGTATATATAAAATACTAGTAAAGTAATAATAAAATAATAATAAATAATAATAATAATTATAAAATAATATAAATTAATATAATATATAATATATACATTTATTTGTATTAAATTTTTAAAATGTAAAATGATGTGAATCACGTCAGTGGTAACCAGGAATAGAACTCGAAAAGACGTGAATTCACATCAGCGGTCGCGAATGTGTTAATAACAAAAAAAATAATTCGTTGAATAAAAAGGAATATTTGTAACTAAATTTAAAAAATACTATCTGTAAGAAAATAATATTAATTTAACGGAATGAATAGTTATTTCTAAACTTCCGGCATGTACATAAGCTGCCGCGATATAGCAAAACCTAACCACAGCAACAGCATCTCGTTACTCTAAGGTAGAACGATCTTGAAAGAGTAATATAAACATCGTGATAAATTCCGTACATTAATCATAATGAGATCTAGTCCAACGACAACTGGAAGGCGTCATAAATTTATTAAAAACCCGCATCATGTACACCAATTGAGAATGGGGGGAGGTGGTCAATTATGTTTAACAAACGAATTCTGTTTAATAAAACGAATGGGATACTTCCTAAACTTGATCTTGATTAAATCTTTCATGATTGGTAATATTTTTCAATTGTATTAACGTTAGAAGAATATAATACTACTACTAACAAAGGTCGAGGATAAAAAAAAAGAGATGTAAGGAGAATAAGAAGGCAGGAGAGGAGGAGGGTAAGGAAAAGGTCGAAAGAGCTCGTACGTGTACCGATCGAAGAAGAAAAAGAAGAAGAAAAAGAAGAAGAAGAAGAAGAGGAGGAGGAGGAATGGCGCGAGAAGAGGGCTGCCGAATAAAAAATGCAGATTCTGCTGATACATACTGGGTGGAGGGTGGGGGGTTTGGGGGGACTGTATGGTAGAAGAGTACACGAGTAGCGGCGCCGATATCTCGATTCGAGAATCTCCACGAGAACGACTTACTCCTTGTCGTCCTTTTTTTTTTCCTTGTCCCTCCATATATAAACGTGTGTTGTATATATTCGTGTAAGTAGTACCTACATATATCTCCTATATATGTATATATATGTGTGTGTACACGTATGGGTGCTTGGTCAAGTCCTCGTCCCTGTATATTTGCCGTAAAGAGGCGAAACCCTGAAAGAGAGAAAGGGAGAGAGACTTATGTCGGGTGGCAGAGCAAAATGTAAGAGAGAGAAAAAGTAAAAAAAGAAAAAGGAAAGGAGAACTGTTCTCACCGCATGTGTTAAGCAGCGGTGTCGGCGGCAT